CACAGAGGACCTGCCAGATGCAAAGAATTGCTACCATGGAACCCGTCAAGACTGGGCTGTTGTTAAGAAACTTAAGTTACGTTACCATACTAGGGGTATGTAGTAAGTAGTGGGGTTTCCTTATCACATGGTTGGTAGTAGGGGCTAAGAGAATACAATCCTTTTATCATCCCTATGTAACATATTCCCATATTCGCTACTGACCCCCAGAAAGTTTAAGGTCTGAGTTGGACCCAGCTTGATGTGCCCAAGGAAGGCTCGACACATCCAACCCGAATACTTTCAGATCTGGTGGCCTCGTAAGAGCATGGCTCCTAAACCCAAAAAAACACCCTAAACCCTAAACCTTAAACCCTAAAGCCTAAACCCCTAAACCCCGAACCGCATATGAAGCTGTAGGGGTTAGGGGTCATTATTAGGGCTTAGGGTTTAGAGGTTATATAGGGGATTATATAGGAGATTAGTACAGGGGTTATTAAGGGGGGTACTAGGAGTTAAGATTATGGCTCATATCCATCAATTTCCCGTCGGCTCCAGCCATAAGATAGCTTTATGGCAGGTTTAGGGTTTAGGGCTGTTTGCTATTAAGAAATGTATTCTAAGTTCCCATAGTGTAGATTTGTCGTAAACAACATTCTTCGTTTCAGTTCCTTAAGACCGTATATTAAACCGGCGTCCATTTCATCTTCCACTATTCCAGTCGCTTCTCCATTTAGCACCAAACCCTAAATCAAAAAAACAAGCAACAACCCTAAACCCTAAACCCTAAATCAAAAAAACAAACAAACAAGAGCATTCCTCTCAAGCCTTAAGCAGCAATACGGATGAGGAAGTCCTGGCGAATCTTACAGCCGCTGGACTCCAACAAGCTGGGATTTGAGAGCCCGGAGTTCGCTACTTTCGTTTAGGACTTAGGGTTTAGGATTTAGGGTTTAGGGTTTAAGGTTTTGAGTTTGGGGGTTTAGGTCTAGAGCTTGGTTTTGCCAGGAGGCAAAAAGTTGTGCGGGGCCTTATACAGGCCTATGTGAGAAGTGTTTCGGGGACTCATCTAGGGCAGCTGTACTCTTTACAAAGCACTTGAACAAATCTTGACTCTTCTGACGATTTATGACCCTAAACCCTAAACCCTAATCCCTAAGAGGTCCTTCAGATTCCTAAGCCGCATGCCCTTAATCCTTAAGCGCAAGTCATGTCGTTGGTACCCGGCTCAGGCCAAGTTCTTCACAAGATGAAAAAAGAGGCTGCCGTCGTAGGACTGGATTTTGATACCGATCCCAGGATCGCAGGGTTTAGGGCTTAGGGCTTAGGATTTCCTGTTAGGAACATCTTCTTGGACAAGCAAATCCAAGCTCGCCTTTTTTGCAGTAAGCCTGAACGATTACGAATCTTGTTCCGCAGTATCCCTGTCCAGTCGTAAGAAAAGTCAAGCCATGTCAAACCTCCCTTTTTGAGCTCTTATTCTAGTAGTATGCTTGTTTGACTGTACCGGTTACTTGAGCTCGAATTATCGCTTAGGTGGGCCCCCCACCCAGTGATAGTGACTATAAGGGATAATAAGGCGCATATTAGGGTCCTCTTATAGTCCTATAATATAACTATTACACGGTGGAGGGTCCACCTAACCTATAAACCCTATAAGCCCTGTAAGCCCTGGAAACCCAATAAACCCTATGTGGACCCTTTAACCTGTAAACCCTAAATAGCAGAATCTTTATCCGCAGGTCCAGCATGTTGGTTTTGCCCCAGGGATCAGCTTCAGCTGGCGCAGGGCTCTGTTCAGGGCTTACAGTTGCCAGTTTCCCAGACAGGCGAAGCCCAGGAACCTTAAGGATGTAGGAAGTGGGAACCTTTTACTGTGGTTTGGGTAAGTTTATGTACGGTCCCCCAGGAACATTGATGAGTGTATATATTCCGTGTCCAGTTTGGGGGACCCCAAACTCAGATCCCACTCCTTGCGGGGATGATAACCCTAAACCCTAAGCCCTAAACCCTAAACCCCTAAACCCCAAACTCCTAAACCCTTACAAGCCCGAAACGCAGATCATTTGGGTCCCTATCAAGAACTCCTTCAAGCTCACAAGTCTGGGGTCTAAGGGTTGGCTTAGACTGGCTTAGGAGAGCCTGTTTCTTGCTGAAGGACCTACTTTAGGGTTTTAGGGTTTAGGTTTTAGGGTTGATCTGGATAAGAGGTTGGAGATTTGGGCTGCTCAACTTCTCTGACTCTTAGACTCTTACGGCTGATTTGCCCCCACCCCGCATCATGATGTACCACCCGGTACTTACTGGTGGTTAGCAAGGTATTTTTTACTGCTTCATTGACGAGGCTATTGTTTTCCAGAAAAATGCAGTGGATCATTCAACAATGTGTGGGCTGTCACAATTGTGGTCCCTTTTCGGTCCCTATTATCATACGGCCCCTGATAAACCGGGTACCCAAAAGGGCATTTGACCTTGAAAGGCCCCAGCTAAGTTCAGGGATTACAATAGTACCCCCCCAAAGGTATCCNNCCCCAGGGTTTAAGGAGCTAATACGGACTATAGGGCTTAATAAGGCCTAAGGGTTATAAATCTGGGGGCGTACCTTTGGGGGGGCACTATTGTAATCCCCTTCTCCTGTCAGCATATCTCACTGAGGAGCGTCTCCAGTCCGATGTTTTGGAGGCATGGTGGTGTAGACCTAATGTAAACCCATGCTTCATACACCCCCTCCTTTTAAGGGCCTATATACTAGGATCCCTGTTATGATCCCTATTAAGGGGAGGGGGGTTTTTAATTAGGTGTCTAAATTACATTACCATTTGTGCTGCATATTAAATGGGAGCTTCTCAAAATGGACCCCGCATAATTCCCCAGCAACGGCCCCAAGGACCTCATTGCAATCCCTACATGTCCTCAGGGTCCTTAAGGGTCTTGCTATTTCGATCAACTCTGAAATGTGATAATCTTCCCGCCTGCATGGAATACGTGCCGCTCATGATTGTATTTCAACCCTTCCAAAACGGAGCCCCTTCCAAAGCTCTTCAAAAGAGATTGATGTAGGTGGTGAATACGGGGCAGTGCTATGTTTTGGCTTGCGTATTATACGCTGGATTCCTGTTCGGGTGCGCTAGTCGCCAGCGAACTACCCAGAGTTTTGGCTACTGCTTACTCAGGCTCAACACCCCTAACGCCTGGACAACCAAATGGGCGTTGTTCACGTTATGTTTTTGGGGTACCCCAAATGCGTGTTAGCCGCTTGATTCTTTATCATACAGGGGACCCAATAAATTTTTGGGTTGCGTATAGCCCTCTCCTTTAGTTGAGCCCAGCCTTTGCATTCTCATCCTTGAGTAAATGGATTGGAGCCCACAACACCATTCGAAGAGGACACAACGATTACGAGCCGGAACCCCATAAAATGGTATGTTTTGCACAGCCTCTTTCAACCTTCCATATCTTCTGGCCTCCTGCCTCCTGCAAGCATTCAAGCCTACCAAATTCTGTAGGGTCCTGTCCTTCATATTCATCTCCCCCTGCCCCCCTCGTCACATAATCTGCCTCCCAACATATACTGGCAGTATATAGTATACTACAGCTTATTTGTTACGGTATAAAATTCTTCTTGAAAACTATACGATAGTGGGAATATCTTGAGGGGATGTCATTACTAGGGGACGGGATCAGACTAAAGCCCCGAACCTTGAACGATCAAAAATGTACTTCAAACTCAAGCTATAAACAGCCAATATCCTCCAGTTTCTCAGAAGTACCATCATAGATCTAGAGCTTCGAGATATACCTACCTTGCTAAAACCCTAAAGCCGTTGTAATCTTTCCCTGCTGACGGTCTTGGACAGGTTCTCATGCAGGTCTTTAAGTTGGTTGTGATACTCGCAGGGGCCTTGGCACACAAGTTTCCTGAGCGAAAGCCAGGGAAATCTGAGAGACAGCCAGGGAGACTTGCAGTCCAAGCTGCACATTGACATGGACCTTTAAACTTTAGGGGTTCTCCCCTTGAACTCATAGGAAAAGGCCCGGGTTTTTCAATATGCATCCTGAGAATCCATCGCACGCCTGGAGATCAATTTCCTCATTTCAGCAAATTGCCAGCCAGGTTGTTTTGACGTTTGGGCAGACATTACAGAAGTCAAAGTTTCGTGCTCATTGTTAGCCAGCTGTTGCTCACATGCCCCTGAACATATGCTTGACGGCATGCACACATGCCTACATTAGGATCTTTCATGTGAAGCGGGGAGGCACGACTGTCAGCAGCAAGAACAAAGGGAGGGGAGCCTCGCGAACATGTAACAGCCGCATGCTCTCGTACCATGCCGTTGGTCGAGCTATCCGCGAGAGGTCAGCCCTCCTTTCGGACTTCCAGCTGGTTGGAAGGCTATTGAGCGGGCCTACAGCGCAGCAGGGCCGCAGTGATAGGTCAAAGCGTCCAAAACCCATAAGGTAGTTTCCCAAAATTAGGGGACCCAATACTATAGTCCTTATTATGGGGACCCCAAAAAAGGTACCCCTAATTTTGGGAAACCCCCATAAATTATCAAGGCACCCTTTCTTCGTGGGTCAATGCCTGTTTCCTGTTGCCAGCTGAGGCAAACAGTAAAAGGCAGCGGGCAGACCTACATCCGGTTTAACGGCCCAGATGGCAAACACAAAAGCATCTGCTCGGTGCCGAAAGCCGTCGAGTTGGAAGCTATCGACAAAGGCCAGGATGGGAAAAAAGCGCTGGCTGCCTTCAAAGATGCGCTGCAGGAGCTTCAGAGAAAGGAGAAGGAAGAGCGGGACAAGATATCAGGCCAGGGCCAAGGCCCAGAAAGAGAACGGGCGGTAGAAAAAATCCGATCGAAGTATGGAAAGTTGGAAGCTCCAACTCTTGCAAAGATGAAGGGCTGGACGCACAGGGCTAGCTACCAAGAAGTATCGGACAGACGAGTGTCATCTACATCAGTCCCGAAGGAAGGAGCTTTGGCGCCATAAAGCAGGTCGAGGCAATGCTTGGCTTTCGACTCATGGCTGGCGAGGACCTGGGCAGCATGGTACAAGATGCTCGACAAGCAGCTGCGGATGAGTTTGGAGATATGTCTGACGGATTTAACCCCCTGAGGCGCACCTCAGACGGAACGACTCTGAAGGAAGCAGTTGACTCTGGAGAGTTTAACATAGATGAGCTCAAGAACACGCATGTCCACAAGGTGTCAGGAAAGGAAGCCGAGACGCAGAAGCGCAGGGTGCAGGAGGAGGACTATGAGCCCGCCGAGTACCCTCTGGGGGAAGTGCCAAAGCCCCTGTTAGATGATGAAGGCAAGTTAAGCACTGAATTCTCAAAGGCAAAGTTGCTAAATGCAGCCCCACTTGCTGCGGAGTGCTGTAAGATGTACAAGGACATGAAACGGCGAAAATTCAAGAAGGTCCACCTGGTGGTTGTATCCAGTCGCAAGCCAATAGATCACCCCCTGTCCAAAGCGTTGTCCGGGGTCTACTATGCGGATTCCAAGCGTATCGATGCTTTTGGTGGAAACACGTTTTACACGAAGGTGGCTTTCTCGGGGGAAAGATTGATTGTGCGTGGCCTCTACCTTTTCTGGAGCAAAACCAAGCAAGCTTGGCAAGTGTCCAAAGCGCTTGACGACCACACGGCGGGCTTCCTCGTGCACAAGGGGGACCTCAAATTGGGTCCGCGGGTCTTGCCGAAGGCGCGCGCACTAACAAGGCAGTGCATCGATCGACTCCGAGAGGCGCGGAAACATAAGGGACCGCATCCTGACCTGGAATGAGGCCGGCAAGGCGAGGAGTCTCAGAAGCGGTTCTTAGTTGCTTCGACTCAAGCATGATGCATGATGCGACCTCTTGCAACGTGCCACCGGAATGCCGCCCTGACATGACAAATTTGCCTGAAGATCGCTTCCTGACCGAGCCTTCCCCGAGCCAGCTTGCCTGGAAGACAAAATGCAGCAGAGTTGTTTGAAATTCAACAAATAATCTAAATAAAGACTCCTGGGCAAATATTCTCTTGCAAGTTGGAATGGACCGAAAATCCGTATATCGTTCTGTTTCATCTAGAGTCATCACAAACAAGACTTGCTGAGACCATGATGCCTTCACGAAACCTGTTTCCTTGCAGAGCGGCTTCGAAGCATGTTAGAATTACGATTATCGACCCATTACGACATGGCACCGAATTTCCCCCTCCCCTATCTACCTAGACCCTCCTCCTACCCTCTATAAAGGCCTAAGTACCCATTATCAGGGACCATATATCCCCGATTAAGGGTACAAGGAAGGTCCTGGTAGCAAACTTGCACTTGGGAGAGCCAGAGAGGTGAGGAATGATAGATAGAGGCCACGACCACTTGTAAGCTCGAGATAGTTCGATAGTTGGGTAGATAAATTCTATCTTACTGAGTATTAGATCGTAGGGAACAGTTCAAACAGCAACTAGACTCCTCTACATTTAGATTCTAGATGTCCCGAATACTGCCTAGTTCATGACCTTGCATCCGTCGCCCACTCCGTTCTCGTAGCGGTTGATAAGGGAATAAAGAGGTAATTGTTACTTGTTCCTCCCAGTGTTCATTAATATTCGAGCCGAACCTGTAAGCCAAATTTCAGAAGCGAATGCCCGTAATAGCTTAGCTATGTTCGGCACCTTCGATGGGCCGAGTGAATTGGTCTTCTTGTCCTTGGGAGCATGATGCTCCCCATAATCCTAAGTGGTGGCCTGCATGCTCTACTTCTGAACTCCGTGTATTCAAAGTAGCCCTGATAGCAACAGTCACAGTATCTACGTACTTACCCTAAGCCCAAAGGCTGGGTTTGCTTCCGCCGCCTCTCCATCTGCCGTCATTCGAACATACAAAGTGGAAGCGTGAACTTGCGGGTAGATGGTTGAACCATAAACCCTCTAGATACTCAAGTCTACGACTATACCTTAGATCTACATCAAACCCCAACTGTCATGATTGAAGCCAGTACAATCTTGCCATCTAAAGAGCGAAAATTCCCTGCTGAGGTAGTAACTTGCCACTTCCTTGCCTGCTTCTGGTGGGCCGTGGGCACAAACGGCTCTGAGACAGTGACATGGGTAAAGGCTTCCCGCTGATGTGTTTTATGTAGTATCTCAAATGCGGGTTTGCCAAAGTTATGGGTTCTTTCTTGGGGTTCCTGAAATAAGGAATACTGTACTTTGGGGTTTATATTGGGCTCCCCTAGTGAAAACTATCCAAAGCTGATAGGCAATGTTCAAAGCAGAACTCAGAAATAAGCGTCGAGTTACGGCGACTGTTAAGAGATCGTGCAAGGGATAGCAGCATGAGAAAGCTACACCACAAATCAGGACCGATACGAGTCCAGGGATTGAAGGCTTCCGTGCGGGTGTTGGGACTTGTGTGGTTTCAGATCGCCACGGCGCTTGCGTCGTCGAGTTGAAGACTTGCGGGTGGAATCCAAAACCGCGTGGAAACTACAATCAATGTTATTGCGGCTTGATAGGGGCTACCAGAAGAGAGATATTCCTCCATTTTCTATAATAACAAGCGGTTAGAAGATTTGAACGCGGGGCGCGCCAGCGTTTAATGTACGCAGCGTCGCAAAGTTCGAACGAGTTTTTGGAACATGCAATGATATAAGCTCTATGCTTCAGCACAAGAATGTACTTCGCTCCAAAAAGGTTCTCCTTATTCTAAGGACCCCCCAAAGGCCTTCAAACTACTTGGTGCTACTTTGGGGGACGCCCCACTGCCACACGGAATCTGTACGAGGGCCGGTGGCTGAAGCCTAGAACCCCATAGTCCCCAAACCCTAAACCCCAAACAGGGGTAGGCTTGAGAATTTCTAATCTTTGTTGCCATCAATTCCTATACAATCCTTATAAAGCCATAAAGGTTCATTTTTGTAGGGCCCCCAAACCTACCGTAGTGAACCTCAAACCCCAAACTTGACCAATGATGCAGCAGCTAGGACGATTAGCTTGCCACATTCAAGTCACTAAGACATGGTCATGAGGGTTCACGCAAAAGAGGGTGCCAAAGTCACTTACTGGTGGTAAGCAGGGAATAATTGACCAGATTATATAAAGAGTATTTAGGGGCTACATTCCCATATTCCCTACTAACAACCAGTAAGATTATGGCCCCTAGTTGTCGGGCCTCCTGTTGTCATAGCGATTCCCGTCGCTAGTAGGGACCGACCTGGCGTTTTTGGCACATGCCGACAGAAAGCTCCCGCATCAAGATCCGATGCTCCAAAAGCTCATGCTAACAGCTCAAATCTTCGACCCCGCGTACTGAAACCCTGAGACTCTCTCCCTCAAACAACTGGCCGATGTAAACCAATCAAAAGGTGAGTCCTTAGCATACAGGCAGCGCAGCCAAGTCTCAAGCTTTGTGACTCCTCTTCTAGCGCCTGACGCTGACTCGCTGATAAATGTGTGCTCTAGTCCAGGCTCCTTCTAGGAGGTTTTACAGGGGACTACTATAGGGGATTTTTAGGGGGATACGAGGAGTTTCGACTATAGTTCATATAATTCCATATTCTCTACTATAACCCCAATAGATCCCCTAGTATCAAGTACTGTAGTAGTTTCCATTTTCTTTTTCATTATCCCTATATAGCCCCAATATCATACATAAGTGGAGTTGATTGGAGATCAGAGTGGGTGCAGTGCCCGTTGACATAAACCCTAAACCCTAAACCCTGAAGGACAGGCCCCTGAACCCTAAGCTCTAAACCCTAAACCGTGCAGTGCCCCTTGACCATGACAGGCGGGTGGCTACGAAGATTTCCCGCTGGACTCGTCCTACCTGGTTTGCCTTTACTGGGCAATCTCCCTGTCCCTTCGTGGGTTTAGGGTTTAGGGTTTAGGATCCTTCAGATCATGCTGGTTTAGGAGCTTAGCAAGTCTCAGTTCTCGGGGATCTTAGCTGCTTTGCGTTGGTCCTCAATGATGTCCTTTAACGCTGCAGGGCTGAAGCTGTAGGCAATCGTGCGGGATGGCGATCAGGTAAGTTTTGTTTGGCGCTAGAATTAAGATGTGGAAGCACTTCTTTACTTCATGGATAGTGTGCAGTCCTACTTGAAGGATCGTGCTGTTT